TTTACTAACAGTATAATGTGAGCAAGTATGTACTCCTCTGTTTCACAGTTAGAATCGTATTCACCTTGTTAATGGTTAAATTTAAATTCAATAATAAATCATCGCACATGAAAAATATCCTGGTGAATCCAGTCTGTCAGCATATATTTAAATTACTATCATAAAAATGTATTTTACTTTTAGTAATACTGTAATTTGAATTCATTTGAGCAGAAAACATTACATTTATTTTGTTATTAATATTAACTATTCAGTTAAAACATTTTAATTAACATATTAACAATTTAAATTAATATAATATAAAAAAAACACATAAACACGTAAGTCAATCTGACTCGTAATAGATGAATGATTGTACATACACAACAAATACTAATAATTATTATTATCGATGTTCGACAATTGTCTGTAAGCTGAACTCGCCAAACAAAATATCAATGTTTTGCTAAAAAGTAGATAAACACAAATCAAATTTATTTCTGCCTACATTGCTACATAAATACCAATGTGGTCATGCTCTACTATTGTTATACAGGTATAACTTCTTTCACATTTATTTGGTATACATTTCCAGTACACAAGTAATTAAGTATTATTTTCATTAAAAATGTATAACAATTGTATTTGATAAAAAAGTAAAAGTGATATAAAAGAATAATACATTTTTTTTAAATCACCAAATTACTCAACATGGGCATGGTTAGCCCTAGGGTAAATATGTCCCTATGTGAAATCACAATAGTTTTAATTATATTATTTTAATTATAAATAATATATGACTCTGTCTAATTGTATGATATAATTATATCTATAATTATATTATTTTTGCCACCCAAAAGAAAGAACCCATAACTTACTTGTTTCCTAATGGAAGACCTGATTGTGTTCATTATTATTTATTTACAGGATTAGAATCATTTGATAAAGTATTAAGTTTCTTCTCGTTAGTACGGAAAGAATTTTCTAATAGTCTTTCATCATTTGAACTAATGGACTCTGTAGCAATAAAAAGTGTGCAAAAAAATATTGGCATTAAGTGTCCAATAAATGACAGCCTGAAATTTTATGTTCTTGTAGAATTATCAGGTGATAATAATTATATCAGTCATTCCATTCAAGAATTTTTAGAAAAAGCCTTAGATGAAGAAATAATTTTAGATGCTACTGTAGCAGACCAACCGTCACTAATTCAAGTAATGAATATCTATAGAGAAAATATAATAATAAACAGATGAACAACAAAGTAAATTATTTTATTTAGAAAATTGAAAATGTTTAGAATTTATGGAAAATAAGAGAAAATATTCCTGAAAGTTTATTAAGATATGGATACGTCTATAAATATGATATAACTTTACCTCATGAGTTATTTTATGAGATTGTGCCTGAAATAAGGAAACGATTAGAAAAACTAGATGTTAAAGCGGTTTGTGGCTATGGACATTTAGGTAATAATTTTGTATTTATTGTTTTAACAATATTACATTTTAATTTTGATGTAATTTGTATTTTATATTGTACCATATTTGTATTTATAGGTGATGGAAATTTACATTTAAATGTGGCTACAATAGAACATAATGCTGAAATAGCCTCAGCCATTGAACCTTATGTATATGAATGGACTAGCAAATACAAAGGAAGTGTAAGTGCTGAACATGGAATTGGATTTTTAAAGAGTAAATATTTGAAATATTCAAAATCCAATTTAGAAATAGATTTAATGAAAAAATTAAAAAATACTATTGATCCAAAAAATATATTAAATCCATACAAGATTTTTCCGCAAGATGATACTAATTGAGTTTCAGTCTTATTAAAAAAAAATTTTTATTGTTTTTAAAGTGGTTTATTATGTTGTCAACCATTTAGTATATAGAGATATCTATTAAATATGAATATTATTTAAACAAATTGTTCATTTCTTTTTTGTGGTATAAACTAATACAGGTATATTGAGGTTTGCGAATTAACAGTCACAAAAGGCCAGTTAACCAACAAATTTTCATTTAAATTGGTATTGGATACTAACTATGAAGTTAAAAGACTGTAAAACTAAGTACTTATATGCATAACAATAAAGTCTTATAGTCATAGACATTGCTAATACGACATACAGGAACCACCTGTATTACCCAGGCTACATTTCTATGTCTATGTAATAGGTGTAACTATGGGAGAAATCTGAGCACGCCCCCCCCCCTCCCCATCAAAAATATTTTTATAATTATTTATTTATCTAACTTTTTAGTTAATATTATATGTTGTAAGAGGGCCGCAAAAAAATAAACACAAAATAGTCCATAAATCAGTATTAACATTTTAGTGTTACTACCCCCCCCTCAATTTCAAATGGCTGGACACGCCTATCTCTATGTATTCTCTTAAAAAAGTATAAAAACTACTTTTCTACATATATAATTCTATTAATTTCATTATTTATAAATTGTATCATTGAACTTTTACATTTTACTTTTTAAATTATTTAAATTTGAATTACCTATTTTTACATAATATATCACATTGTTTTTGCTTTAAGACATTGATAAAACATTTTAGGACAACCTTTAAATGTATGTACAACAAACAAATACATTTTTGCACTTATTTAAATATTTTAAATTTAGCCACCTATTTTTATTATGACTGTAAATAGAATAAATTAATAAATAACATACTTGATCTCCATTAGTTTTGATGTTCAAATTATATGAAGCTGTATGTAAATCAATCAAAATTCAAAATATCTGGCAGTTTGGGATAAATGCTTGATCGGGCGAAATGTAAATTTTTTTTTGAATTAGTGTCGTCAATGTACTAATAGCTCACAATGTAGTATTTTACTTATTTTTCCAAAAGGATCATCTACATTTAGCTTTACGTTTTAAATTATTACTTATCTGTTGTCTATTTAATTTTCGTTTGACCAAATATTGTATCAAAACAAATCTAGAAAAAAAAAACAAGTAGAAAGAGACAAAACGTCAAATGTATTTTAGATATAAATCACAACTATTAGTTTTAAACATATACCTATTAAGATACAAAATTTGGTAAGTTTCTTTCCCTATTTTAATTATTTTTTTACTTAAAATCCACAAATATCAGTTTTTTTACTATAATGTAAAAATATTAATCCTGACATCTGCTGGCAAACAAACCAATTTGAAAAAATAAAGAATATAATTGGCAATACAATATGTTATAGGTAATGCTAAAATTAATTACACTATTGTTCTTGTGTATTTTGTTTATTTTCTTGTACCTACCTCCAATTATAATTTTGTAATTAAAAGTATTTAATAAATACACCTTGAATCTTGATGTAGTTGATAATTTATATAATATGTTTTATGGCGGTAGTTCATGTTATCTACATCTTGGTTGAAGTTGATACAATACCTGGAATAAAATATTATCTGGTTTTTTTATTCCATGTCGCTCTTGATGTGATTAGGGACGCATCATGCGTTATTATTCTTCATCCTGATCCTGGTAGTGTATTTTACATTTGTGAGTAGACGGTATCTTAAATCATAATTCATAGTGAATATGGTCTTACTTAAATGAAAAGTGATTTGTAGTTACTAGTAGTTAGTGAATATTAAGTAAAGCTTCGTGCCGCCGTCCCTGTGTAGTGTGTTTAGTGTTTTTTGATTTGTGTTTTCTTATTAGATTTACGTAAAATATTTATTTCGCGTCGGACTTCGAAGTAGCTACTATGGTAATGACATATTTTAATTCTTAGATTTATTAATATTTTGTATTAAATCGTTAAAAAATATGTCCATTACTGTGGATACTTCTTTTTTGGTACCTCCACCTCCAATAAATTTTTCGATTCCGCCGCCTTCAACCAATACATTCATTCCGACAAACTACAGGTTTCAAGGCCCAATACCTTTACACATCCGTGGTCCGAGTTTGGGTGGTCCACCAAGGCATCAACTTAACAAAAGTGCACCACCAGTTGATGTAGATTTCGATGGCAAACGTTTGAGGAAATCAGGTCTTCGTAAAACTGTGGATTACAATGCATCACTAATTCGGATGCTTCAAAATCGTATTTGGCAAAGAGATTACAGAGATCGACCATTTTTACAACCAGATATATTATATACTCCTCAACTTTTACCTCCACAGTGTTATGTGGATAATTCTGTAAATTCAGTTACTACTGCTTTTGTCAAAACTGTTACTAATAAAGTACGGTGTCCTGTATTTTGTTTAGCATGGACACCCGAAGGTAGACGTTTAATAACTGGTGCGTCTAGTGGAGAATTTACTCTATGGAATGGTCTTACATTCAATTTTGAAACTATTTTACAAGCACATGATTCACCTGTTCGGTCAATGGTATGGTCTCATAATGGTAACTGGATGACAACTGGTGACCATACTGGTTTCATTAAATATTGGCAATCAAATATGAATAACGTTAAGATGTTTCAAGCGCATAATGAAGCTGTTAGAGGTATTAGTTTTAGTCAATCAGACGATAAATTTGCAACTTGTTCAGATGATGGAACCATACGTATTTGGGACTTTTTTACTAACAGAGAAGAAAAAATACTTAGAGGACATGGAGCAGATGTGAAATGTATTGATTGGCATCCGCATAAAGGTCTTTTAATTTCTGGTAGTAAAGATAATCAACAGCCAATTAAACTATGGGACCCAAAAACTGGTCAATCATTAGCCACTTTACACGCTCATAAAAGTACAGTTATGGACGTTAAATGGAATGCCAATGGTAATTGGGTTGTGTCTGCTTCCAGGGATCACTTGTTAAAATTATTTGATATAAGAAATCTTTCCCATGAAGTTCAAACATTCAGAGGTCACAAAAAAGAAGCTAGTACTATTGCCTGGCATCCATATCACGAAAACTTATTTTGTAGTGGTGGTTCTGATGGTGCTATATTATTTTGGAATGTGGGTGTAGATAAATTTGTTGGATCTGTTGATCAAGCTCATGATAGTATTGTTTGGTCATTAGCTTGGCATCCATTAGGTGAGGTTTTGTGTTCTGGTTCAAATGATTACACTTGTAAGTTTTGGACCCGAAACAGACCTGGAGATAAAATGACTGGAAAATATCACTCAGTAAACACAGTTTCTAACATGTTAAAAACAGATAATATGTGCGCTGATGCTCAATCGACTATTCCTGGAATGGGTCTAGAAGACATTGATGAAGAAGATACTAATAAAACGTTAGTTGACAATAATACCATACCACTTTTAGATATTGCCTCTACTGAAGAAACAACCAGAGTTCGACAAATCAAGAAAATCCCTTACTCTAAACCTATTCCTAAGAATTTCCAAAAGTTTTGGAATGAATATAAGACTAATGATGAAATAATCGAAGATGATGCTGAAGAAAATCTTGGCCCTGATAGTGATGTAGTCAATAATGTTGTTGAAAGTTTAATGGATTTGATACCAGGTTCTAGACCAGCAAGTGAATTGAAGCCGGAATCTCTTCTTATTTATGGACAAATGATAAAAGTAGATCAAAATTCACCATTAGCGAATGCAATTAGGGAAGGTCGAGAATCATTAATGCGTCTTCTTCATTCTGGTGCAATTCCAGAAGTACGGCAACATCTATCTTTTGAAAGCAATAAAGATCCAATTTATTCATATGCAGCCAAACACCTTCAAAAAGATCAAGACTTACGCAGAAATCAATTCATTAATAATGTAAATGTCAACTTTCCTATGAATCAAGATGTTGATCTTAGAGTCAATAATAATTTTAATCCAAATTATGGTTCTTCTGCTAATTTTCAAACAGCTTCTAATGATAATTTTAATAGACCAGTTATACATCAACCATCAAACACAACTGGATACAACCAACAACCGAGATCTTATTACAATAAATCACATCCTTACAATAACAACACACAAAATAATAGGCCATCTCGACAATATGGAAACAATCAAAATGGCATGCGAAATGCTCCGCCACCTAATTTAATGGACTCCACCTTTTCAAGGCCATCCACTTACAGACCAAATTCACAAAGACCACCTCAAAATTATAACAATATGTGAATTTTTCTGAGTGGGTACCGAGTTGAGATATAAAACTACTACATGGTAATATTCGATTTATAAAATATTGTAAAATACTTGTTCATGTTTTGCATATAAAATATAAAATCATTTCCTTATTATAGGTAGATAGATACATATAATTATTTTATGTATGTATATATATATATATTTTATTTTAGAATATTAACCAAAAATTAATGTTCCATGTAACATTTTTTTTCTGAATATTGTTGTTCATAAATTATTATTGTTGTATTGTATAAACACCTTCAAAGCATTTACTTTTAAAAAGTTAAAAAAAAAAAAAACAGAAAAATAATAATTATATACTAAAATTGCATATTTTAATCCTATTCCCGTTTTCCAAAAAAAAAATATTGCTACATGTAATAATTCTTAATACAATGGATTTCCCAGTTGATATAGCAATCTATATCTAAATTATTTTTCAGGTGGAGCCCTCTTGAAGTTAATTCTCTCCTCCCCCCACCCCCCTCACGCAAAAAAATACTGCATTTGATAAATGCCTTCTGTCATAGAGTAAATAACTTATATAAATTTGTTATTTAAAATAAACGGTATGATAAAATGTATAACCCGGGTGGCCGGGTTTGACAACTTAATCTACCTTCTACCAAGAATGAAATATTAATTTATTGATACTGTAATTAAAAGTAAATTGGGCTGAAAAAAAAAAATTGCTAGCTGTCACGGGAGGGGAGGGGGTGAGAGAGGACTTGTACTTATGGTATATATTTTTTCAATTTTATTATAAATAACCATATCTTGCACAGGAATTAGTTTGTTAGCTAACTATGTAATATATTTTTGACATAGTCATTTGG